CGGCACCGAGCGGCGCGGCGGGCAGGGGGCGCGGCGCTCGCCTCTGCGACGTCCCTGTGCCCTGTGCTTTCAGAGCTGGAGCTGAACACCAAGTGCGTGGTGGAGATGGAAGGGAACCAGACGGTCCTGCACCCTCCTCCTTCCAACAGCAAGCAGGGAGAAAGGTAAGGCGGGTTCGGGAGGGCGCGGGGGACCCGACCTCGCGCGCCGCTGCGAGTCGAGCCGGGAGAATGGGAGCGCGCCGTGCCATTGTTAGGAGGCCGGCCTCAAGTTTGTCGCACGCTCCTGCTGGAAGCCTTTGCAAGTCCAAGTTCCCTCGTCGCCCGCTGTCCTCCCGCCCCCGCGTGCTCGTCCCGTCGCTCCCAGAGCGGTGTCCCGCACAGCACCCTGGCCAGAGCCACCACCTGCCAGCCGGGCGGGGAGCGAGGACGCAGCAGGGGCCCTAGAGGTGATTAGCCCCACTGCCGCATTGTACAGATGGGAAAACTGAGGCCTAGCCGTTCGCAGAGCCCAGTGCCGCGATTCTCTCTGCCACTGCATGGTTTGCATCCTTTGGCACCGTCGTTCAGGAACCTAGTGTGGAAATCGAGGGTGCAGCGGAGGAGCAGAGATGGACCGAAACAGTCTTGTGCGATGCACACTCGGGCTGGACCATAGCAAGTATTTTTTGGTTGGTGAAGGTGGTATGCAGATAATGCCAAACATAACGTGCTCGGTTTGATTTTCAAGGAAACAAAGGTAGTGCCCCGACTGCGAAGACGCTGGGAGGATCTTTAAAAGGGGGGCTGCATTTACTAGATAGCAACATATTTGCATTTGAAAAGTGGTTACTGTTGGATCCTGATTAATTCTGCTCTGTTCCATCAGCAGTATGGGAAAATGCCTTAAAATAATTGGAATATTTGGCATTTTTCTGGCAAGCCCTTGAGAAGAAATCGGTTGGAATTCATTCAATATAGTAATGCAGTCAAGTTGCTTGTCAAGATCTAAAAGAAAAAGAGGGAGATTTTACAAAATAAATTCTTCTCGGAAATGAGGATAACTGTTTCTAAAAGTCACCTGTTGATTGATGAGCCATACAATGTAGTGGATTTTACTTTTCAGAGATTTTTTTTTTTTCCATTTGCAGAAAGACTCTTAAGTAGAGTCTGTTCCTTTATTGCTCAGACACAGGGTGCTAAATTTTCGGGAAGAAGTTGCCTGAGGAGGCACGATTGGGGATTCTGCCTTTCCTGTTAAATCTAGAAATTTTTATCCAGTTTGTCAGCATTCTGCTTCCTCTTGCAGATCCTTATAGCGATATTAAGTAGCTAAATTATGTTTTTAATGTTCTGTTAAATAGTCTATACTAGTGAATGTATCCTGTTTTCAGATACATTTTAGATACTGTTTTGCAGTATTTTTAGGTACATTTAGAGCAACATACACAAGTATATTTCATGATAATAGTAAGTATACTCATTGAGTAAGTTAAAATGTTTACACATTAAATAGATGCTTGCTTACATCACTAAAAGTTTTTTGTTTTGTTTTGTTTTCCCAAACTGGACATAGTCACATTGTTTCAGAAAAAATGTTCCGTTGGGTCAGATTCTTTAAAGCAGTATGGGGAAACAGGTAGACTATCTTAACTCCGACTAGGGAGCCACTGCCTCTGTTTTCCTTGCTAGTCTGGCACCTGTTTCTCGTCACTCTCAACCATAAGGAGTGCTACTGTTAGCTGTTACTGAACGAAATGAAGTGTTGTCATTTGTGCGGAAAAACAGATTAGATGTTGTGGAATTTGGATAGACTTTGTGACTGGACAGTTGGTTGCAATGCTAAATCATCAGCTGATCATTTTTAGAACTGCCACTTAGTTACTAATATGGATCTGTTAAGTAAAGATCTGTAGAGTGGTTTGGGGATTTATCCATCTGCTTCCTTAGGGTATAGTCCCTTATCTGGAGAAATAAAAATAGCCTTGAAATATGGGTGTTTGCTTGTTCTGTCCTTCTGGCAGATCTGACTCTGTGGATGGTGGCTGTGCTCTGCCTGGGATTGTGCCCGTGTGGTAGTGATCCAGTTTAAGGACAGATCGAGGACGGTCAACACTACCACGGTACTTGTAGATGAGGATTACTGCCTCTTAAGGGTGATGATTCCAAAGGCATTTTCATTTCCATTATGTAGCTTGGTTTCATGTTTCTCCAGTTTTCCTTTAAAGCAACAGTGCATTTAAAAATAGAAACAATTCCTCCCATGGGCTCTGGGCTGATTAATTGCAACAATGCTTCATGTTATGTTTGCAATTTATTTCTATCATTTGCTTTTGAGTCCAGCTCAGGGCAGGCCAAGGCTTAATGACCAGAATACCGAGAATATTATTATTTTTCATACATAGAAGTCCAAAGTTTGAAGTGCAATAGGTCATTAAATAAATATTTGCAATCCCATGCCCATCAAGAATTAACCATTTTCCTGAAAATGGTAAGAAATTACCAAAATAGTCGCTGTGGGTAGAGATTTGAAGTTGCTGGATGAAAGTTTTCAGTTTCACCTTGGAAAGCAAGTGAGAGAGCATTGACTTCCAGGAAAACGAGTGCACAGGCGTAGTTGTCATAACTTCCCCCTTTATGGAATCAAATCCAGGGTTGTGGTGAGGTAGTCAGTGATCATAGGACGTCTGAGGTCAAAGTGGTTTGTTTTGGTGCTGAAATTCTAGGATAATACATTGTATAGGGCCAGGTAAATACCAGGAGACTTCCAAAAGTTCACAGAAAAATGAAATTAAAGTACAGGTTTATATTGGTGGAACCCACACGCAGTTTTTTTCACAGTATGCATTTTCCATCATCTTTTTGAAGACCCCCTCGTGGTTGACATGTATACTGATCACCATTAGAAACCACTAAGACACCCAACCTGGTTTTGTAAAATGCCATCGCATCGCTGCCCAGGAGACACCTACAAAGTTCGGACCGTGCAGGTACCAAGCTTAGCACAGGGATCCGCGATAACTGTGGGCCTTGGAGAGGCTGGGGAGAAGAGCACATGAAGTAGTTAAAACGCAGCGTGGTCAGTGATGTAGCTGCACACTCCTGCCCGCCGTGGGCTGGCTACGTTTCTAGAAATCCCTCTCCTCTTTCCTCTCCTCCTTGAGGCTGTGAGCTGCCTCAAGGCAGGCGCCGTGTCCCAGTTCTCTTTGTGCCCCACGCTCTTGCACACAGTAGGGCACATAGCACATCAGCACCTCTGTGGTGAGGCAGGAGCACCGAGCAGGGACTGTGGAAGTAACCTGCGTCTTGGCGGCCCACAGAGACAGGTGGCATTCGACCCAGTCCCGCGGGTGCTGACTGTAGGTTAACCTTTGCAAGGTCAGGAGAAAGTCCTTTGCCAGGGAAAGTGAAAGCATCCCTGCCCCAGTTACTTCTGGGTGATAGGACGTTTTGAGTGTAGGGTGTGAAGGACTCAGAAGCAAGGCCATCTTGGAGGGGCGGGGCGAGGATGAGAATTTCTAACTTGCCAAAATAGGTGAGATCTGCTGTGAAACGTCTTCCTCTCACTCCTGCTGTCATCTCTACCCTTCCTAGGTTCTCATCTCTGCAGGAAGGGTGCCCATAGTCATTAATCCCTACGCATCTTTGCTGATATGCGTGCATATACACACATAGGTATATCTGAGTTCTTTGTATTTTAACAAATATCTTTAGTATCTTTCAATACCAGTGTATGAAGACGTCTTCATTCTTTTTTTTTTTTTTTTTGGAGAGGTTTTTGCTGTAGGGTGCATGCACTCGCCAGAAAGACAGAGAGAGACGGAGATACAGAAAGCGAGAAACCACTCCCCAGGAGGGATGGCCATGCAGCAATCCCTTCTCCTCCATTCTCCTCTCAGGATCTTGGGCACGCCCGCACACGCACCCAGCGTGAGTTTAAGCCGCTGGGTCTGGGACTCGAACCATGGTTGACTACATGGGAGTCCAGCGACATAGCCATTATGCTAACTGCTGGTCCCTTCATTCTTTTTTACATGTAGTATGGCTAGTAGTACTGGCTTTTAAAGTACAGGTGGTTGGCTTGATCCTTATAACTGATCTTTATGACTTCTAGGAAGTGAAGCTTTATCATGGAAAGACTGAAATGGAACTTGCTTTCTACATGGGTTTTTGTTCTGGGTTATTTTATGTAAGTGAATTATAAAGCAAGTATCCAAAGGAAGTAATGTAACCTCGGTTTCTCTCCTGCAAGGTGTAGAGTGTACCTTGCAAAGCACGTGAAGGAATGCCAGTGGAAGAAAGCCCCCTCTTGGTCGACTGCACGTATATTTTCCAGCATTGCAGGTTGCAAGTTTTTATTTGCAGGCTGGCTTCCTTCGCCATTCCCAAGGCTTCTAGGATGGTTTCTTCAGCTCAGTTGTATCTGCAGACCAGAAATTTAAATATTAGTGGAAGTCATGCAAAGTTAAAAAGATAAATCACCCAAGAAGCAGTAATATTCCACATTATAAAATTAGATGTGGGACCTTTGAATTCTGTTGTGTGTGTTGTCTCTCTTCTCTCTGGCTGGATTAAAAGTGAGTAGTACAAAAGCAAAGAATATTTAGTTTTTACTAACCCAGAAGTGAGCATCTGTCTCCCTTTTCACATGATATTAGTATGATTTTAAAGAGCAGTGTAATAGAATAGTTTCATGAGCTGTCAACATTTTCGACTTGTCTTAAAATAAAGGCACCTTGAAATCTAACAGTTTTAAAAAAAAGTTAAAAGTAATTATAATGCAATATAGTTTAGTGATTTTAAAATTGTTTTTATTATAGTCCACAGTTTAAAATACATCTTACAATATAGACCTCTGTGGATGTGTGTATTATAAAGGTTCATGAAAAAAATGCTCTTAATTCTGTGTAATGTCTCTTACCATCTATTGTCTTCTGTTCAAATTCATAAAAATAAAAAAAAAAAAAATCATGGGGGCCAGTAGGTGGCATAGTGGTCAAGGTGCTGGACTCTCACATGGCTGATCATGGTTTGAGTTCTGGACCCGGTGGCTTAAAAAAAATCACGCCAGGCACTTGTGCGTGTGTGTGCCCAAGATCCCAAGAGGAGAATGGAGAAGAGATCGTGGCGTGGCCATCCCCTCTAGGGGGGGGTGGGGTGATTTTTTACTTTTCTTCTCATTGCCT